ACTAGAGCATGTATTCTGTAACTTGTAAACAGGAGTCTAAACAACTATAGCTAAGAGGACAAGAACCAAGCCCTTTCTTTTCTAAATGAGCCCTTCCATTGTCTCTCAGGTTTACCTCCACAGAATTTCAAAGGCTTGGTTTGCTTTCCATTGCCTACTGATTAAAGCCTAAAATCTTTAGCACATGGCAATTAGTGACTTTTTTAAAAAAAATATGTTTTTATTTATTTATTTTTTAGAAAGAGAAAGGATCGGCTGCCTCCTGCACTCCCCCCACTGGGGAATGAGTGCACAACCTGGGCGTGTGCCCTGAACGGGAATCCAACCAGGACCGTTCAGTCCCTGGGACAATGCTCAGTCTACTGAGCCACACCAGCGGGGCTGCAATTAATTACTTTTAAAATTTGTTCCCACATACCTTTCCAATTTCATTTTTTTTCCATTCTCTAACACAATGCTGGACTTCTTTTCCCCTTTTGTTGACTAATTACTTGGTCTTGACTTGGCTAAAAAAATGCCAACTTCATTGTGAAGCCTGACTCAATCTTTCTTCCCATAACAGGTAGAATTGATCACTTCTCACTCCGCTCCCTTAGGCTATCTTAATTCCTGTATGTAGCTCTTATTACATGGTCCAGTGTGTTAGCCTCTTCGTTTCCAGAAGCAGAAGCCTTATTTGTCAAGGTCTGTTTTGGCTTCAAATGACAAAAATCAACTTTAGCTTGTTTTGGCAAAAAGAGAAATTAATTGGCCTGTGATAAAGGTGGAGTTTGACCTGGAAACAGATTCAAACATCATCTGTCTGTCTCCGTCTCTGTTCTTCTCCCTCTCCCTCTCATCTCCTCATCTTTCATTCTTGATTTTTTCGTATATTCTGCTTTACTCTCAGGCCACTTTTTTTTTTTTTTTTTCCTGAAAGCTAGAACCATGGCTAATTGGAGATCTAGATTCATATTCTTCTACCTCAAAATACTTCCATTTGGAAAAGTCTCAAAATACTTCCATTTGGAAAAGTCCATTTGTCAAGTGCTTAGCTTGGACCAAAGGCTCACCCCTAGGTACAGTCACTGTTAACTTATAAATTACTATGGTTGCTGTGTCTTAGGACAGTACTTCTCTTGTGTTCAGGTGGGCTGGATCTTTTAACCACATGAGAAGGAAGGGACTATCAGTAGACAGTACCTTATTCTAGGGTAGAAATTTATATCTGGAGGAATATAGCAAAGCCAAAGAATAGGCCTCAAGCTTGATTCTGGAACTGGAAAGGTGTTGTGGACAGCTCTGATGATTATACTTTCTTACTCTATCTTTTCCAGTTCTGCCTCCACTGCCTCCTGTCTCTCCTTGGATATCTCCAGTCCATGAGCTTAAAGAAGGAATTTGATTGATCCCGTTTGGGTAGTGTGGAAAAGTACTTTGGAGCTTCTTAGAGGGAAGGATTTAGTACAGCACTTTGAAGCTCCGTCTGTCCCATATGTATAGAGAGTTAATACTCGTTTCCCTTATAAAATTATGAGCTTCTCTTGTATCTCCAGGGCTTATCACAGGCATATATGATAAATAGTAGGTGCTCATCAAATGTTTGTGTCGAATAGACATGGAATGTTAAATGAAAATTGGGAATTATCATCTCTGTTCCCATTACCACTAGGACTGTTGAAAGACATCAGGAGAGTCCACCCATGTTCCAAGAGCCAGAGGGTGCACTTGGTAGAAACTCAAAGGGCTTATTAAATGAATGTTGTGATGTTAACATTAATCATAACCAATAGTAAGTAATATACAAGGTATGCACCTGTATACTATTCTTTCTGGATGCCATGACCCCAATTTGAACAGGTACCACCAGGTGGAGAAGAGAATTGAAGTAGTACATGGCCAGCATACAGCTCACATGTCTGTAGGAGATGGAGAAACAGAGATACAAATGGTATTGCAAATTTTAAATTGTTGGGTTTTTTTAAATCTTTTTTCTTTATTGATTTTTAGACAGAGAGAAAGGGAGAGGGAGAGAGAGATAGAAACATCAATGAGAGAGAACATCAATTGGCCACCTCCTGCATGCTCCCACTGGGGATCAGGCCCACAACCTGAGCATGTGCCCTGACTGGGAATCGAACTGGCGACTTCTGGGTGCATGGGTTGATGCTCAACCACTGAGCCACACCGGCCGGGAAAATTGTTTTCTTTAATAGATAATACATTTGTGTTGTTCAAAGTTCAAGAGGTGTTAATGCACATAAAGTAAAAAACTTCCACTCCAGTCCTGCATTTAGCCCCAGAGTCAACCAATATTTTCTTTTCTGAAAACATTTCCTTTCACAGATATTTTGCATATTGATAGTTATATGGAAAATGCATATTACCTATACAGTGGCTGTACCTCATTCTTCTCAGCTTGTCAGCCACTACTTTACCTTTACCTGTGTTTTTACTGTGCTTTTTTCCCTAGAGTCAGTGATCTTTTTAAACAAGTATCATTGCTTTGGGACTTGTGTGATTTTTGTTTTGTTGTTAATCCTCACCCGAGGATATTTTTCCATTGATTTTTTTAGATAGAGTGGAAGGGAGGGAGGGAGAGCGAGAGAAGAGAGAGAAACATATGAGAGAGACACATCAGTTGGTTGCCTCCTGCACGACTCCAACCAGGGCCAGGGATTGAACCTGTAACTCAGGTACGTGCCCTTGACTGGGAATTGAATCCATGACCATTTGGTCTACAGGCCAATGCTCTAACCACTGAACAAACTGGCCAGGGTGGTTTGTGTGATTTTTTAATTAATTGATTAGAAGTCAGCTTGACTTCTCAAGTCTGCTCAATCATAGTAAAGCCTGCCTTTTGTTTCCCTAAGCAATCTTAATCAGCCCCATAGAACATCTTGCCAGTTTTTCCTTTAGATAAAACATCAAGTTGTTTCTACAGTGTTCCTTTTATGTGCCATGCATTGTGCTCAACACTTTACCCAGATCATCCTATATAATCCTTATAATGATCTGATGGAATTGGCACCCCATTATCCCTTTTTTACAGATGGAGGAACTGAGACCTGGAGAATTTAAGTACCTTACCCAAGCTTACATGATACGTGGCAGAACTGGGATGTGAATCCAGTCTCTGTCACTCAAGAGCCCCAAATCTTGAGTACTGCCCCCTAGGAATTTAATTTTATTAAAGGAGTTTAAATGGATACTTCCATAAAGGCAGACCTAGCAGAGTCTACGTTTCCATCAAGAGCTGGGATCTGCCCTCCCTAGGTTTTTCTATTACCAGATGAAAATGGGAGAAGAATTATATGCACTGATGTTTCATTCAGGTAAAGGGTAGACTGTAGCAATCCATGAAGATCCTAGAACTAGAAAGGAGAGGAGGGCTCTAAACATGTCTATCAAGGCAGACTTATGTCAACACACAGGATTGTGGAAATCTGTGGAGTGAAAATATTTCTCAGGAGAGGTCATCCTAGATTTCTTTTGTTAAGGCCTTATTTGGTTCATTATTGCATTGTTTCAGCTGCCAAGATCTGTCTATTGCCCTAGAGAATTAGGAGGAAAATCTTTCATTTACTCTAGAATTTGGTCTTCTTACAACTGTTTCTCCCAAAAAAAAGTCTTGCTTTTCTGATGGACTTTAGCTCTCCGTGAGCTTCTCAGAGGGATAACCAAATTAATAACATACATAATGTCTGGCTTGGTTAGGGTTGCCCAGAAAACAAAGCCTGAGGCAAAAGTTTACATACGACTGATTTATTCAGGAGTACAGATCAGTCAGTGTGAGGGAGCTAGATTTAAAAAGAGAAAAACTTTACAGAGTAATGAAACCTCTTTTATTGCCCACAGATTTGGCTCTAAATTTTGTATTCCAGAAATTTCTAGGTATGTACTACTAATAGTTTGAAAAGTCTGCTTGGATATATAGGGACGAGTGAATTGTTACCTATGAAAAGTTTAAGTGTGGCCTCTCTTAACCCTATGAGTTGATTGTTCTCCTTGCAATTAGAATGAAATTTATGCAAGTATATAAGGGGCTAACTTGTAGGAAAATCTATCTACAGAGGGTAATTTAAGAAAGGTAAAAATTCACAGAGAAAATAATTTAACTTTTAAGTATTAATAAACACATAAGGGAACTTAAAGGTAAGAATTATATCTTTAAATGTGTTTGGAGAAAAATCAAAAGTTAATTTCTAAATGCATTTGTTGAAATAATACTTCATTTAAAATACTATATCTTATTCTGGCTTATATACACTCTATAAAGGTGTTTTTCATAATATGGATGAACTGAAATGTGGCAGATAGTTGGCTTACATCTTGTTTTGTTGAAGTGAGGGAGGAAAAAGGTGATGTAAATATGATCCAAGCTGAATTTAATGATTTTTTTAGGGTGATCTCATTAGGAAAGGTGAGTCGTTAACCTGCTGTTGATTGTATTTTGATCTAGATCTAGAAACCAAATTATATAAAACCAAAATAGTAATGAGTTAGGGGCTTATTCATCATTACTTTTCTAACATGCAAAATTATTCCTATAGCTCTTTTTACATAGATTCCAAGGTAAAAGGGGAGAAGGGGTTAATATCTCTAGATTTTTTTAAATACATCTTTTTATTGATTTCAGAGGGAGGAAGGGAGAGGGAGAGAGAGAGATAGAAACAGATGAGAGAGAAACATCTATCTACTGACTCCTGCACGCCCCGTACTGGGGATCAAGCCGGCAACCCAGGCATGTGCCCTGACCAGGAATGGAACCAGTGATCTCCTGGTGCATGGGATGATGCTCAACCAACTAAGCCATACCAACTGGGCTCTAGACTTTCTTTTTGTTTTTAACCCAATTTCATAATCCAGAAGAATGAGGTTTTTCAGTTAGGATGGAAATAATGCTACCAAAGACAAAGTTCATACTTAACACTCTATTTTATTTATATTCTAAATTTATACAAGTGTTTAAAGACATGAAGTAAATATTTTGGTTTTTGTAGGAATTATCTAGACAAGACAGATGCTCTAAAGGTAAGAGTTCACAAGCTATTTTTAGAACACTTTAGTTCTATTTTACCATCAATTTATATAGTTTTTTAATAATTGCTTTAGGATAAAGATATCTTTTAGCCTAAATAACAGAAATATTTATATAAAGATTATGAATAAGTTATTTTATTTTTAATTGTTTTTCTTTATTGAGTCTAGAGAGAGGAAGGGAGAGGGAGAGAGAGAGAGAAACATTGATGAGAGAGAAGATCAGTTCGCTGCCTCCTGCATGCCCCCCACTGAGGATTGGGCCCACAACCTGGGCATGTGCCCTGACCAGGAATTGAACCCTCTTGAAGCATAGGGTTGACGCTCAACCACTGAGCCACACTGGCCAGGAGATTAAGTTATTTTAAATACCTCAAATGAAAATAATTTTATAATGCTAGGTTTTATTTCTACTTCTATTTTAGACACCAAAATATAGACAGAATGACAAATTGCTAGTGTTTGATCCAAAGGGTAAGTGATTTAGTACTTAAAAAGAATATGTTTGAATACCATTTTGTCTTAAATATTAAGAAGATAATTTACTGGAATGGTTGAGTGTGGTTGAAAGACTTAGTATCTAAATCCTTTATTGTTTTGGGTCTCATTTAAAAAATGCCTAAATATTTGCCAGTCAGGAATTTCTGTTAGGAACATCACTATTGATAAAATACTGAGGTGTTTTTTTTTTCCTTCTCTTTCAGAAGAAGTGATGATTGAACCAAATGAAACAATGTCATGGTAAGAAAATGTCCGGTTATGCAGTTGAGATCTATCACATGCTTTTTGAGCAATTAGAACTAGATAATGCAATCATTTGTCACCCAATTAAATTTGAAAGGCCAGAAATGCATGGATTAGTGCTTTAGCTTTTGCTTCATTCAAAGTAATTGTTAAAAGGACATTTAAAATGAAATAGAATTTTGATAAAAATGTACAACTGTAGATAATATTCACTTCTACTTTTAAATGCTAAACACCTAGTATTCTACATTTTACTTATATAACTCTCATTGCTCATTTCTATTTCCCTTTGATACTTGCTCATTTCTTTCAGAATATCTTTTTCAATGAATATTTATAAACAGATTCTTTATTTACTATGAGATGATTCATTACTACTAAATAAGGAAAATATATAAACACCCCAAGTAGATGAAGAGATTAGTGTTAAAAAGAACCATAGTTCAGTTTAAATTTAGTAGCTAAATATTAAGTACCTGCTTAGTTCAGGGCACTGATTCTGATAATTCATCAAAATCCTTCCTGATATGATCATCTCCTACCACCTGCAAAAAAAAATTCTATCGTTTAGTCCATGAAAAATTACATTTTGAAAGTTGATCGTAAAACACATTCATAGAGATCAATTATTGACAGGTTTGTAAGCATTGTTCTGATGGGATTCTATTCAAATTAATAATATTTTGGCTTATTGTGAATATTATTGGCTGGGAAAATTTTCACCTAATGCAACATTTTAATTTGTTGTTGTTGTTAATCCTCACTCGAGGATATTTTTCTATTGATTTGTAGGTAAAGTGGAAGGGAGGGAGGGAGAGAGAGAGAGAGAAACATCAATGTGAGAGAGACATATTGACTGGTTGCCTCTTGCACAACCCGGACCAGGGCTGGGGATTGAACCTGCAACCCAGGATGTGCCCTTGACCGAGAACCAAACCCAAGACCCTTTGGTCCAAGGGCCAATGCTCTAACTCCCTGAGCCAAACCACCCAGGGCTATTTTAATTTCAAACTGTCAAACCTAAAAAATTAAAATTAGAGTCCACCTTGGCGTTGTTGTAAATTATATATTAAATACTTATTTTTATATTATAGGGAGAGTAATATATAACAGATCAATGATGAGAATCTGTTTATTTCAGATTAAATGTTATAGACAACCACAAAAAATAAATACCATGTTAAAAAATATATATGCACATATATAAGTATGTATATGCATACATGCTATCACATGGTTGAAAACATTTAAATTTTAAAACCTAAGACAATTTTAGTAGTCTTTTGAGGGAAATATAACTTTCAATAATAGTAATGGAAGTAAGTAGGCCATTAATGAAAATAAATTGTTTTGTCTACTAATGAGCCCAGTGTTCCAAAACTGTGATAAACAGTGTGGAGCAGGAGTGATCCACACCTTGAGGTAGTTATACCCCAGGGATAAATCAAAGGCAGCTAGGGCCGAAATAGAAAAACTGAGTGCCTACTTTTTCTCATGATCTCATTAATAATTGCATCTGCTCACCAAACTACTTTTTGAAAGGGTAAGATGAGTACGTTCCCTTTCAGTTGCTTGCAGAGAAGATTTTGGGTTTGGCTTGGTTGTTGTTTCAAGGGGATAGTTAGTGTAGCCAGTAAGCTTCACCATTGTGTGGTGATGCACCTCAGGTACCTTACCTAGAATTGAAGGCAAATAGGGCCAGTCCAGGAAAAAAAAAATGGACAAGTAAGAAAATAGAAAATCATGGGGACTTTTGTTTGGGAACTAGTGTGATTGACCTGCAAAGTTGATGAATTTTCTCAGTGTAACTTCAGATTTCACTTTCCACCCCTCTATTGTCTCCATAGTCTGACTGGCAAATGGAATTTGCCAAAAGGTCCTTTCCAGCTTGGGTTATAAAACTAGAAGTTTTCTTTCCCCACCAATTCTTTGCCTTAATCTTCTGATTGATTCTTCATTCTAGTTTGAGCCACAAGTACTTTATAAACCATGAGTTTTGAACTTCTCTGGACACAAAACTCACATTTATCATTTCTCCCCCTCCCCCCCCCCCACCCATAGATCCATGTGTGAAAGATTTTGTCTACCCAACAAATTGCACTTAATTAACAAACTTTTCAGTAGCAAAGGTAAAATATATCTTTAATGCTAGACAAAGTTTTATAGATCTTTGGCTTTTGATCTGTTGGTTCTTTTGGGTAAGCTTTTGAGTGTACTTGAAGATGTGAGGGGGAAATGGCTGAAGCAGCTCCACAGCACTCAATGCTCTCAGGTTGAAAAATTATATCTATATGTTATTCCATAATCTTTTCTCAAATGAATGACGAGTTATTTTCTTATTGCCATTTTTATACTTTAAGTAAATGGCTCTTTGGCTGAAGACCAAGATTGGCCAGCAAACTGTATTATGTCAGCAACACAAGTTCCTCTAAGAATAGCTAAGACATTCTTAGAAAAGTAAGTTTTAATTAATTTTTAGGTCCATGTTTGACAAATTATAAATAATTTTAAAATAAAGTTTAAAATATAAACTTCCTGAAAAACTTGTTAATTCCAGTAGAAATTTGGGAACATTTCATAAATATGCCCAGTGCTCTTAACTAAGGAACAATCCTAAAACCTAGATTACTTACTTACCCTTTAGCATAAATATGTTCCAGTGAGATATCTAACTTGACTAACTCTTTAACCTTAGCAGATACTAAATTAACTATCTTCCATTTCCAAAGGATATTACATAAAGTAAAAATTTGAATCTTTCCTTAATTGTAACTGTATTTAAATAACAGATCTTTTAGAGTATACTGGTTATCTATTTTTTTAAGTGGTTAGAGGCATTATTACCATAAATAACATCTCTTTCACAAATGGAAGTCAATAGACTATAGTTGAAGAGGAGGTCAGCTTTTGGACCTTTGAGTCTTTGAAACTGTATATGAGAAAGACTACAGAAAGTGAGCAGAAAAGGAATTCATATTTTACTGTTAAATGGTGATTTGGCCCCAATTCTCATATGTATTTTTATGGCATGTTAATGCTTCCAAATAGTCATATCCCATTTATTTTCAGGCCATTGAGTATGTTGGCTTCCTCCATGTTGTGTCATTAAGACTATTAAAAGCATTTCCAGCTCTGGCTGGTGTGGTTCAGTGGTTAGAGCATTAGCTGGCACACCAAAGGGTCTCAGGTTCATTTCCCAGTCAAGAGCATGTACTGTGTTGCAGGTTTCACATGCAGGAGGGAATCAATCAATGTGTTTCTCTCACATCGATGTCTCTTTCTCTCTCTCTCTCTCTCTTTCCTTCTCCCTCTTTTCATCCTTTCCACTCTCTCTTTAAAAAAAAATTTTTTTTTTAAAGCATTTCTAATTATTCAGATACCCAGAACTATACTAGCTAAATTCTCTTCCTTGGAGTATTACTTAGTCAATATATAAGTAACATATTTCATATTTGAAATATGTACACATATTTTCATCATAGTTTAACATCTCTTACAATTGATGGCATCTTAAACTTGGTAATGCTTTTTTTTCCTTAAATAATGAAATGTCTTCTATAAATGTATGATATCTTGGATTCAACAAAATACTATAATTTGGCGGGGGAAGGTAGGCAGTAAAGCCCTTTTATCTAGAATAGCTATTAGAGCAAATACATTCTAGTGGTGACCTAGATATAATAGGGATCTTACAATGCTAGAAATGGAAAACTTAAGTGACTTCTCAACTTGTTACATGTAGAATTTCTTCTTGGATGTTTTCTTTTGCAACTAGAAAATTGAGGAGGGAAGAGGCAGACAAATGTAAATCATCTTTGCTGTACATTTTATATTACCAAGGAGGGGTTTTGCTTTAGCAGTATATACGGGGGAAATGAAGATTCAATTCCCTCCCTTGTATTAAGAATATAACAAGCTGTTCAGCCTCTTTTCTAAATCACTGCACAAGACTAACTTAACTACAGTACTAATGTTCTGGATTCATATTTCAATGGGGACAAAACAGAGGCACCATAACTATGGGAGAAAAAATAATACTTTATATATTTTTATATCTTTTCATGCAAACTAGAAGCTGAATTTTTGAACTTGATAAAGGAAACATATTAAAAGAGTCTTAAGACCATGGAAAACAGACTTGAGTTATTTTTCCACCAGCATGGGTGTCTGTCTTTATAAACAGAATGCACCACACAAGGATCTTCTGTCTCAATGTACTGTTTATTGACATGAGGTTTCAGGCTTAAAGGCTAAAAGAGGACCCATTTTTATTTCAGCTACTCAATGACAAAGCAGGCTACTTTATATTATGACCGAAGATTAATATTAGTGTTGCCCTCTCTCCATAGTATAGCATTTAACAATAGTAAGAATTTATTTACTAACTGAAAAAAAAACTAGTATTCCTTAAATAGTTTTGCCAGAGACATTCATAGAACTGATTGCTTATATGCTCTGTTAAAGAACTCTGAAAAGATTCTAAGAATCATTACACAATGACAAATGCTAGGCAGAAATAGAATTTTAATCACCAGTAAAAATTATTTTTAATGCTTTTCCACAACAAAGATACTGCATTATAGCTATTTATACTGTGTGTTTGTAGTAAATAAATGTGTGCGTGTGTGTGTGTACATACATACGTATATAAAGCCTTAAACAGAATTTCTTCCCGAGGAAAATATTTATTGACTATCTACTTTAACATTTAGGAAGGAAGTCTCTTCACAAAATATTGAAAATAAAGTTTCTTTAAAGAATACTGAAAATAGAGTATCTTCAAAGAGTCCTGAAAATAAAGATACAGAAACAAATCTGAAATCTAAGCTATGGTCTTCTTCCGTCTTAAAAGAAAGCACAGGTAATAACACTTGTTTTTTATTTTGTTTTTAGTAACTGTTGCTTCTAATTCAGCCCTCTTTCACCATGACTTATGGGATGTTGACAACTCTGTAGGCCTGGGAGAGTCATAGGAATCAGTACTTTTTTTTTTTGTTTAATGCTTTTATGATTTGAGAGAGACATCGATGTTCGAACAGCTGCCTCCTGCACACCCTGCACTGGGGATCAAGCCCAAAACCCAGGCATGTGCCTTGACCTGGAATCCAACCAATGACCTCTTGGTGCATGGGACGACACTCAACCACTGAGCCACACCAGCTGGGCATGGGAAAATCAGTACTTTTTCAAATTCATGTACTAGATGATTCTGATATGCAGTCAGGTGTAGGATTTATGGAAAAACATTACATAAAATGAGAATAATAGAATATTAAATTTTAAGAATGAATTAAAATATCTAATGAAAGCATAAACAAGTTCTTTTCATTCAACAATGGTTTACTGAGTGCCAGACACTGGTTTAGAAGCTGTGGATACATTAGTTAGCAAATAGGCAATGTCCTTGCCCTTATGAAGTTCACATTCTAGTGGGAGATAGACAACCAAATATTAAAAATAAATAATTAACAATATAAAATAACAACAAACAAAACAGCACAATGATAGGTTGTTATGAGTGTTATAATGTTAATAAATGACACCTAGAAGAGGACTACCTTATATCTAGGAATCAGGAAATCTTTCATGAAGCTCAGTATGTGTTTGTGGAATAACAGGCAGTTCCTGTGACATCACATACAGTCCTGAATTCCCTATTCTGACCTTCCCCCGATGACATCAGTGTGATGAATCAGTGAACAGCTGAATACACACTGGAAGATCAAAGTGGCTGTGAGCTGATGGAGACTGTAATGGAAACAGAAGCAGGTAGCCCAGCCATCCTACTCTTGGAAGGACTTGCTATCCTGATTTAGGATAGCACTTTTTATTTTTATACATATATACATATGTATACATATATACATATGTATACATATATACACACATATATATGTATATATATTTTTTTATCCTCACCCGAGGACATTCTTACATTTATCTTCAGATAGAGCAGGAGGGAGGGAGGGAGGAAGAGAGGGAGAGAGAAACATCGATGTGAGAGAGACACATCGAGTGGTTGCTACCCACATGACCCCAACCGAGGCCGGTGACAGACTGCAACTGAAGTACGTGCTCATAGTTGGAACTGAACCTTTGACTCTCCGGTCTGCGGGCCGACGCTCTAACTGCTGAGCCAAACCAGGCAGGGCTGTGTTTTGATTTTTATATGTTACTTTTATTAATACATCCATCAGTTTCATGGATGATAATATTTATGATCTCACAAAATGTATATTAAAAAAGTAGATTCAGCCCTGAACAGTTTGGCTCAGCAGTTAGAGCATTGGTCCACAGACCAGAGTCCCGGGTTTGGTTCCTGATAAGAGTATGTACCTCAGTTGCAAGTTTGTCCCTGGCCCTGGTCGGGGTCGTGTGGGTGGTGACCACTTGATGTGTCTGTCTCACATTGATGTTTCTCTCCCTCTCTTCCTCCCTCTCTCCCTCCTGCTCTATCTGAAGATAAATGCAAAAATGTCCTTGGGTGAGGATAAAAAGAAAAAGTAGATTCAGCCAGATTGGTGTGGCTCAGTGAACTCATCCCAAGGACTAAGAGGTCCTGGTTTGATTCCCAGGCAGGGCACATGCCTGGGTTGCAGGCTCAATCCCCAGTAGGGGCCTTACAGGAGGCAGCTGATTGATATATCTCTCTCACATTGATATTTCTCTCTCTCTCTCTCTCTTCCTCAAAAAATCAGTAAAGACATTTTGTTTAAAAGTAGATTCAGCCCTGGCCAGTTTGGCTCAATGGTAGAACGTCGGCCCGTGGACCAAGGAGTCGTCAAGAGCATGTACCTTGGTTGCAGGTCACCGGCCCTGGTCGGGGTCCTTCGGGAGGCAAGACCAGTCGATATGTCCCTCTCCTGTCAATATTTCTCTCTCTCCCCCTCCCACTCTATCTGAAGATAAATAGAAAAATATCCTCAGGTGAAGATTTAAAAAAAGTAGATTCAAAGAAAAATATTAAGTAATTAGTACAGGTGATGCTCATATATGGCAAAATGTATGAAGATAGTATAAGAATTACTGAAGTTTGGAAAAAGTTCTAATAGCTATTAGAATTTAAGATTTTACCTCTTAAATATTTCTCTAATCTATCACTTCTCCATCCCTATTTTACTAGTGCCCTATCATCGCTCGCACCTGGATTTTTAAAAGAGAACTCTGATCTGTCCCCTTACTCTTTTTTGTTTTTTTGTCTCCCCTCAAATGCACTTTTCACCCTGCTATCCAAGTTTTCCCTCAGAAATGCAAAATTGATCATTCTTGTTTCCTTAAATAAAATTTTTTATTAGTAGCACCTTCATTCTTAAGATGAACCCCAAGGCTTACAAGACTCTATTATCCAGCTAGCCTCTACCTACATACACTTCCAGCCACCTTCGTCACCATTTCAGCTTCAACCTTGACCCTTAAGCAGCATCAAAGTGCTTGTAATCCACACAGATTCTTGCTTATGCTTTGGCTCATGCTGTCCCCTCTCCCTGGAAAAACTGATCCACTCAGACTGGACAGTTCCTGACCACTCCCCAGACTGGGATGTGACCCTCCTTTGCTCTCCCATTTACCTAGTGCACATCTTCATCACTCTTCTTCCCTACTGTTTCTGACTTTCCAGTTAGAGTTTTTTCATGTACTCTCAGATGAAGGACTATTCATTTTTGTGTTCCTGAGACTCAGCATAGTGCCAGGCACTGAATGGGTAGTCAGTCAGCAGTGCTTAGTTTTTATTTTAAGGTCATTTATGTTTCGTCATAGGTATTGTGACTTGACATTAAGGAAAATCATTAATAATGTTATGTAACCTCTGGTTATATTTAGAATACTCCATGTATATTTATTCCTAGTGTGTGTGTGTGTGTGTGTGTGTGTGAAGAGAAACAGAGAAAGAACTTTATTCTCAAGTATCCAAGGAATGACATGACCTACAAAGGCTTATTTGCTTCTCAGCCTCTCCAGTCTTACTTTTACTCTCTAAGCTCTTTACTCTGTATTTATCTTCTTATAAGAACAATTTAGGAAATATATCTCTAGGGATAAAATAGCATTAATTTCTTTTTTCTTAAAGTTATATTCTTTTTTTTTTTTTTTTTTTAATCCTCACCCAAGGATATTTTTCTATTTATCTTCAGATAGAGTAGGAGGGAGGGACAGAGAGAGAGGAAGGGAGAGAGAGAACCATCGACATGAATGAGACACATCGACTGGTTGCCTTCTGCACGATTCTGACCAGGGCCAGGGATGAACTGCAACCGAGGCACATGCCCTTGACCAGAATTAAACCTGAGACTCTGGTCCATAGGCTGACGCTCTAACCACTGAACCAAATCGGCCAGGGCATTGAAGTTTTACTCTTTACAAATAAAACTGTTTTTCATTTATTAAAATTTCAGTCACTGCCCAGGCCAGTGTAATTCAGTTGGTTGAGCTTCGTCCCAGGCACCAAAGGGTTGGGGGTTCAATTTATGTTCAGGACACATATCCAGAATGCAGGTTCAGTCTCTGGTCAGGCTCATGCAGGAGGCAACCGATTGATGTTTTCAAAGTTTTTCTCTCTCTCTTCCCCTTTCTCTAAAAATCAATGAAAATGTCCTTGGGTGAGGATTTTTTTTTTATTTTAAATAATCTTTTTTTTTTGGCATTTACCTTCAGATAGAGCAGGAGGGAGAGGGGGAAGAAGAGAGAGGAGAAACATCAATGTGAGAGAGACACATCGAGTGGCTGCCACCCACACAACACCAACCAGGGCCGGGGACAAACTGCAACCGAGGTACATGCCCTTATGGGAATTGAACCCAGGCCTTTCTGGACTGCAGGCTGAGGCTGAAACCGCTGAGCCAAACTGGCCAGGACTGGGTGAGGATTTTAAAAAATAAAATAAAATTTCAAGTGCCAAACAACAGTGTCATCATCTCAATGTTATTGGTTTGGGTTTTTTCCTCTTTCACTTGGCAGTTGTTTTTTTGTTTTTTTTCAATGCTCACCTGAGGATACTTTTCCATTGATTTTCAGGTAGAGTGGGAGGGATGGAGGGAGAGAGAGAAACATTATTGTGACAGAGACATCTATTGGTTGCCTCCTGAACAACCCAACCAGGGCCAGAGATAAAATTGCAACTGAGGTATGTGCCCTTAGATGGAATCAAACCCACGACTCTTTGGTCCACAAGCCAATGCTCTAACCGTGAACCAAACTGGCCAGGGCCACTTGGCACTTTTTTATTACCTTTTTTGAAAATGGAAATAAGTGCTGTTTAGTCATTAAAAAAAAAAAACCTCCGAAACAGGAAGCCATATAGGCAATGTGTACAGTTGTTACATTATAATTTGGTCATAACCATTTTACATTTTTTAACTTTTTAATATTTATTGACTAATTGTGTATGTTGTTTTAGGTGAGGTGGGCAAAAATGAAGTCATTGCAAAGCAGGAGAAAAATAATGACTATTGCCTCCAGGATGTTGATGATAAGTTGTCCGAATCAACAGATGATGATGGTGAAGATGACACCAATGATGAAGATAATGAAGACAGTAAGCCAAATAAGGGCACTCATGCCCCATTAGAGTTAATGGCAGAAGTAAGCTTTACTTAAGCATTATAATTTAAGAAACTTAAAATAACTAAATAGTATATAGCCTTGAAAATTAAAAAAAGATAGTAAAAAGAACTTTGCCCACGTACAGATGCTTACCTGGTTACTCATCTCTCTTATGACTTTCACCAGGTTAGAGGTGAGAGAAGATTCTAGAAGTGACTTATAGTGTTCTCATAAAGGCAGAAGCCATAATAAGAGAAATTTTGGTATAAAACTCTTTTTTTTAAACTCATCTTTATTGTTGAATGTATTACAGATGTCTCCATTTTTTTTTTCCCATTGACACCCATCCTACCCAAACCTGCCCTGCTACTGCCTTCCCCACACTATTGTCGGTGTCCATTGGTTATGCATATATGCATAGAAGTTCTTTGGTTTATCTCATCTCACCCTCCCTCCCCCATTCCCTTTGAGGTTCATCAGTCTAAGAACCTATTTGTATTTCTTAATTCCTTCATCTTTTTCACCCATACCCCCAACCCCCGCCCATCTGGCAAGCAACAAAAAATTCTCTGTATCTAGGAGTCTGTTTCTGTTCTGCTTGCTCATTTTGTTTGTAGATTCAATTGTTGATAGATATGTATTAATTGCCATTTTATTGTTCATATTTTTTTGTTCTCCTTCAAGAAGACCCTTCAACATTTCATATAATACTGGTTTGGTGGTGATGAACTTCTTTAGCTTTTTCTTATCTGGGAAATTCTTGATATGTCCATCTATTCTAAATGGTAGCTTTTCAGGATAGAGGAATCTTGGTTGTAGGTTGTTGCTTTTCATCACCTGAGTATCTCTTGCCGCTCCTTTCTGGCCTGCAAAGTTTTTTTGCGAAGTCAGCTGACAGTCTTATGGGAGCTTTTTTGTAGGTTACAAACTGCTTTTCTCTTGCTGCTTTTAAGATTCTCTCTTTGAAATCAACGGGAAAAAGCAACAGAAAAGCAGCTTGCGAGGACCATATAACCAGGGACACTGACTCGATCAAGGTAGGATTACGAAGGCGCGAGACGGTCAGCAGCTCAGCAACGGCCTTAGCTGTGAGCAGCGGCCTTAGCTGTGAACAGTGCCCTCGGGTTAAACTCCCAAGTGGCTCCACAGCGCAGAGCCGGGACAGAGGCTAAAATAGCCACAGCCACTCACCTTAGGCTCCAGCACAGGGAGGGCAGACTGGAGTGGAACTGTGTGGGGACACTCGGGATTTGGAGGGCGCTCAGAGCTTTTGCTTAGTTGCAGCCATGCAGGACGGTGGCCATATTGTTCCTTCCCAGGGCTCTAGGGAGACTCGGAGATTCAACCCCACCCTGTGGGCCATTGAAATTCAAATTGCGGCTTACTAACAACCAGCATCTGCCCACCCTCAGGAAATCCCCTTATGCTGAGCACCTGAGGGAGTTTTTCAATCAACTGACAACCCAAAACTCTTCAAGTAACCTGGACTGCTAGCCTCCAGGCAAAAAGCTAGAGGATAACAGTACCATTCCTGGGCTAGCAACTCTAACCAGGAAAGTAAGACTTGACAGTGCTGTTTAACATGGGTCCTCCCTCGCTCATCTAAACCCAGGAGAGGGAGCCACAAGCAGCAGAACACCAATACCCACAGGGAAAACTTGGCAGGCTCCAAAGAGCACTGTGATAGCCAAAATGATGAAACACAGAAACAAAAGCCAAATGAAAGAACAAGAGACTTCCACCGAAGATGATCAATGTGGAGCAGTTAGGCAAGTTAACAGAGCTAGAATTCAGAGCCATGATCTTGAGGAAGCTCAACAGTAAGGACATAGAGATGCTGAAAATAAACCAATTGGAAATTAAAAACCACCAAGAAGAGATCAAGAGTGACATATCAGAAATAAAGAACACATTGGAAGGTCTAAAGAGTAGAGTAGAGGAAGCTGAGGACTGGATCAGCGAATTAGAATCAGGGTAGAAAAAATCAACCAAACAGAAAACCAAAAGGAAAAAAGGATTAAAAAGCAGGAAGACAGCTTAAGAGAACAGTGGGAAAACTGGAAACGTAATAATATTTGTATCATAGGAGTCCCCAAAGAAGAAGAAAATGAGCAAGGGTTAGAGAATACATTTGAAGAAACAGTGACAGAAAACTTCCCTAATGAAGGAAGAAGACATTCAAGTTCAAGAAGCACAGAGAGAGTCCAAAGTAAGAAGGACCCAAACAGGCCCACACCAGGACACATACTAATTAAAAAGCCAAAAATTAAAGTCAAAGAGAGAATCCTAAAAGCAGCAAGAGATAAGCAACAGGTTACCTACAAAGGAAACTCCATAAGGCCCTCAGCTGACTTCTCACAAGAAACACTACAGGCCAGAAGGGAATGGCATGAAGTAATCAAGGTCATGAAAAACAAGGATATGAATCCAAGACTACTCTACCCAGCAAGGCTGTCATTCAAAATAGAAGGTCAAATAAAGAGCTTCCCAGACAAAAAAAGGCTAAGGGAATACATTAGCACCAAACCAGCACTATAAGAAATGTTAAAAGGACTGCTGTAATTAGTAGAATAAAGGGGAAGAAAAATATAACCAAACTAAACAAAAATGGCAATAAATACATATCAGTAATCACCTTAAATGGGAATGGACTGAATGCTCTGATAAAAAGACAGAGTAGCTGATTGGATAAGAAAGCATGACTCATCTATATGTTGTTACAAGAGACCCACCTCACAACAAAAGACTCACATAGGTTGAAAGTGAAGGGATGGAAAAAAATTTCCCAAGCAAACGGAAAGCGAAAAAAAGCTGAGGTAGCAATACTCTTAGCTGATAAAATAGATTTCAAAATGAAGACCATAACTAGAGACAAAGAAGGCCACTACATAATATTGAAAGGATCTATCCAACAGGAAGATATAACCTTGGTAAACATATATGCACCCAATATAGGAGCACCAACATATATTAAAAATCTGGAGGACTTCCAAGGAGAAGTCAACAGCAATACAATCATAGCAGGGGAAATCAACACTCCGCTGACATCACTGGATAGATCTAGACAAAAAATTAGCAAGGAAACAGAGGCTCTAAATGAAGCACTAGACCAAAAGGATTTAATAGGTATCTACAGAGAATTACACCCCAAAACCGCAGAATTCACATTCTTCTCAAGTGCACGTGGGACATTATCAAAGATAGACCACATGTTGAGACACAAACTAAGTCTCTACAAGTTCAAGAAGATTGAAATCATATCAAGCATCTTCTCAGATCACAATGGCATGAAACTAGAAATCAATTGCAACAAGAACATGCAAAGACATTTGAACACATGGAGGCTAAATAGCATGTTATTAAACAATGAATGGGTCACTAAGGAGATCAAAGAAGAAATTAAAAACTTCCTGACCCCTGGCCGGTTTGGCTCAGCAGTTAGAGCATCGGTCTGCGGTCTAGAGAGACCCGGGTTCAGTTCCGCTAAGGGTGCATACCTCGGTTGCAGTTTGTCCCTGGCCCTGGTTGGTCGTTTGGGTGGCAGCTACTCGATGTGTCCCTTTCACGTCAATGTTTCTCTCTCTCTCTCTCTTCCCCTCTCTCCCTCCCACTCTATCTGTACAAAAAATGGAAAAATGTCCTCGGGTGAGGATAAAAAAATAAAAAAATAAAAATAAAAACTTCCTGAAATCCAATGAAAATGAACACACAAAAACACAAAATCTATGGGATGCAACGAAAGCAGTTCTGAGAGAGAAGTTCGTAGCACTAGAGGCCTACCTCAAGAAACAAGAAAAATTTCTAATTGACTGTCTAACCTCACAACTTAAAGAATTAGAAAGCAAACACAAAGAAAACAAACGCCCAGAGCAAGTAGGAGGAAGGAACTAGTAAAGATAGAGCAGAAATAAATGACATAGAGACCAAAAAAACAATTCAAAGATCAATGAAACAAAGACCTGGTTTTTCAAAAAGATAAACAAGATTGATGGACCCTTAGACTCACCAAGAAACAGAGAGAGAGAACCCAAATACACAAAATCAGAAATGAAAGAGGAGAAGTAACAACTGATAGCAGAGAAATACAGAAGATCGTTAACAACTACTATGAACAATTATATGGCAACAAATTCGACAATCTAATCGAAATGGACAAATTTCTAGAAACACACAGACTCCCACAACCGGACCCAGAAGAGATAGAAAACTTGAACAGACCAATAACAACTAAGGAAATTGAAGAGGTAATCAAGACTCTACCAGCAAACAAAAGCCCAGGTCCAGATGGCTTCACGGGGGAGGTTTACCAAATATTCAAAAAAGAATTAACACGCATTCTCCTCAAACTATTTCAAAAAATTGAAGAAGCAGGAAGACTTCCAAACTCGTTTTATGAGGCCAGCATAATTCTAATTCCAAAACCAGAAAAAGACACTACAAAGAAAGAAAACTACAGGCCAATATCCCTGATGAACATAGATGCCAAAATCCTGAACAAAATACTAGCAAATCAAATCCAGCAATACATCAAAAAAATTATTCACCATGACCAAGTGGAATTCATCCCAGGGATGCAAGGCTGTTACAATATTCACAAATCAATAAGTGTGATACACCACATAAACAAAATGAAGAATAAAAACCACATGATCGTATCAATAGATGATGAAAAAGCATTCGACAAAATTCAGCATCCATTTCTGATAAAAACGCTCAGCAATGTGGGAATAGAGGGATCATATCTCAACATAATAAAGTCCATATATGAAAGACCTACAGCCAACATCATACTCAATGGACAGAAACTAAAAACATTTCCCTTAAGAACAGGAACAAAAAAAAAAGAACAAAAAAAAAGAACAACAACAACAAAAAAATCAAAAGCCCTGGCCGGTTTGGCTCAGCGGTTAGAGCGTCGGCCTGCGGTCCGGAGAGACCCGGGTTCAGTTCCCGCTAAGGGCATGTACTTCGGTTGCAGTTTGTCCCTGGCCCTGGTTGGTCGTGCGGGTGGCAGCCACTCGATGTGTCCCTTCACGTCG